TAGGATACAGTCCATCTGTAGGTAAGTCGATAAAGCGGTAGGTAGTGTGATCGTTCTTCAAAGTAATATGTTTTATGGACAGTCTTGTATGCACGTGAAAAAAATTGACGAACACGGCTGGTTTTCGGAGTCCGCCTGAGTCCGGGTGTTAGTCAGGGTACAATCTCGCGTGACTAAAGTAACTGATTTATCGTGGACGACATCCTTAGAGTGGTTATAACCTTACTTGCTGTTTTTAATTCCTGTTAGATGTCATTTTATTGCGGAGAGGAAAAATAGGACCACAGCTATCTTCCAGGTTTGTTTGGCAATTAGCGATTAGAATTTCTATTAATTCAAACAGAAAACTTTTCTGAGGTAGCGGACATCCGAGGTACTCTCTTAGTAGGTGGTGGATTCAGAACGATGCTAGTAGAGTGAGGATAGAGGGTGTCACAACGGTTTCCTGAAATGGTTGGCTTAGGGTTTCGGTAAGGATAATGCACAAACGCATTGTGGAATGAACGTTAATGGGTTTGCCATTTTTACGAAGGTGAAATTACATGCTTAATAACTGATTGGGATTCGGTCGTTGTAAAGCAAAATTTTCATATTTAACACTTGCGAAGTGTAGCCTGGATCTTTCGCAATATAGAAGAGGAAAGAGTGTGGTCAATTCACTATGTGCTGTGTGAAAATTGGTAGTATTGTGAATACTTTTTGTATATGCCCTCCACATCGTGCAAATTCGCAGATTGCTAAAGATTAAGGGAAGACTCAGGTCTCTACAGTGCGGATAGATACGTTTTGCAGTTTACATGCATCTTGTTTGGAGGCGCACATACCATTGTCTTACAGGTCAAAATGAGAAGTACTCTTTCCAAGCTAAATTGTTAATTTAGGGACCAAAAACTACCTAAACGTGCGGAAGCATACCCAACGTTGGGCAATCTACCTAAGCGAGGGAAAACCACTAGACACTGCAACAGTGGCCTAAAGTTCGCCAAATTTGCTAAAAGCACTTTGTTTTATGCCAAAAATAGTCACTTGACGTTGTATGTGCTAAGTCATTTGCTCTAGCAGCTTCAAAATTTGTTCAGATTCTCCTAAGTTACCAACACCATGAGCGTGGTACATTAACCAGGTCGCTTAATGAATAAAATGCTTAAATTAGGTAAATGTAGTAAAATATGCATCAAAACCACTAACAGTCTATCAAGTCAGAGAAAAGTTAAGCTATCCGCAGTTAAAACTCGTCTTTCGGAGTACAACTAAATAAAAACATTGCAAAATTTATTAACTATGCCTATTGTCAATGCTCTTTAATTGGCTCTGTACTAAAAAAAATTATTCAAACTTTATTAGTTGGGGAAATTTTCTTAATGGCTTCCATTTCCTGACTAAATAACAGGTTTTAACGCATGGTTTCACTTTGCTTGTTTTACTTTAGATTTTAAGGCTTTTTGAATATTTTAAACAAGCACGATTTCAACATGTTACAATTTATTCTATCTTTCAATGTTTTATTACGCTACAGCAAACGCTATGGATGGCTTGCCGTCAAAATGCGTGATTAGAGTTTTTACCAAATCGCAGCCAATCGCCGCTCCGTCTGATTGGCATTTGATGTTACGCTCGAGAATTATACACCTCAATACACCAATAAAGAGGCGGAGCACACTGATTTGTAATGCTAACTGGCCAACTTGCAAACCTTGCACCAGAAATAATGAAAAGAAAATCGTTTCATCAAGTAGAAAGTAAAGTGTTACTTAGGCATTCCATTGACCTGAGTACTGACATCTTGAAACTGTAGCTGACATCGCACAGGAGTTGTTATTTTATACAACTTAGCATTAGAAAGAAAAGTGGAGGTGAAATAAAAAGAACCGAGTTACTAGGCAAGTTTACTTTGTGGCAGTTATTACCACTGAGTACGGAGTATGTGGGACAATGGCCCATTAAATTAGAAGTTAGTCTTTTGTACTGTTACTAGAAAATCAAATGCTAGAGTGAACCTAGAGAGTGGAGGGTAGATGAGTGAAAGTGGGCAGCGAAAGAAAAACCCCAATTAGTAAATTATTGCCATTCTCCAGTTCTTAGAGTTTATATGATGCGCTAAATGCATAAAGTACAATTCAAAATTTAGGTGACTAAAACAATTCTACGTTGTAATAGAAGTAGTGGCAACAGTAAGTCAAACCCATTTGCAGAGGGGAAAGAACGACCTATAGTTACGAAAGAATATGCAACAAATTTTGCTGTATTTTATGCCTTTATTCTCTTGCAGAAGGAGGAATGTAAGATTTGCTTTTCAATCAAAATAACTCCGCATATTTATGAGATAAGACCTAAGGAGGAGAGGTGCTAGACACGTTCATTGATAAAGTGATTAATCCCGCTAGCTATACAGCCTCCACACCATGCGATAACAAAGCATGAAGGCCACACAGGGGCGCAGTATCTGCAACAGGCAATGGGAGAAGGACATTCCCCCATTCTCCCCTCTGTGCATGCGCCTCAAAGGAATGACAATTTCACGTCCGTGGAATTTGACAAATCGTGATTCAAAGGCAGCGTAGGCACACCTCCTCTCTCCCTTTCACAAGCGATGTGGATTCAAAATATGAATTAAAATTATCTAACCTAGAATCCAAAGAATACCACATATTATGCGAGCTCTTCTAATAGCTTATTCTTGTTTGCCATAGAGGCCAGGATATTACTAAACACGGATTCGAGAGAATAATGCATTTCATTATCTCAACTCGTCATCTGCATGCATGGAGGACCAAACACTGACTAGATTTTTCCTCAATTGCAGACAAAACCCGGGTTGACGACGAATACTGCGTAATGAACTAAAAACCTCTGGTAAGACAAACATATCACAGCTAACTTTCAAACAGGGCCGCAAAGTAGATAAACGCTGAGTTTAGTAGCGGAGTCCGGCATCCCGATTAAATCGATATGTTCGACGGAGGGAATATCAACTCACTCACCGAGTTGGTAAAGTTCGCAATGGAAAAACTTCAAGATATGCTGCTAGTCCTGCTTTGCAACATCCGAAACAGGCAAACAGACCCTACAGCCTCATATGGAGCATTCTGCGCTACACCCTTAAACTGGGTACATCTTCCTTATCCTCTTGATCATAAACGGCTCTCACTCATCCTTGAAAGCTCCAAGCAACCAAAATCTTGCGTGTCCGAATCATTAGCTAGCCCCCGTCAGGAAGCTACCAGCAGAAGACTCGAAGAATGGAAATGGTAATCCATCTATTTAGATATTTCATAAAAAACTGCCGCATTGGTACTACTTATTG